GTACTGTACACCTAAACTGTACCAATAACTTAATTAAAAAACCCTCTTCCCTGCACCCCTTCCAAATAATCAAAGAGGTCAAGGTTTTCTACATCAGTTTAAAAGCTTAGCTTTTCAAGTATATATTGGGAGCTCCCTCCTGCTTCATTTCCTCTTACAACCCCCTTATTTTTAAGAATAGGTACAACATCCTCCCTACACCTGCAACTGCAGGCTTCGTCAGTATCTTCCGAGTGGATTTCTCTTACATTCCCAAAATTGTTCTTTTCTTCATCACTGCACTCAGACAATGCCATCCTCTCCTTTGTTTTCATTTACCATGTAAATGCAGGGTGCTATCTCCTGTCTGGCACCTTCTTCCCGCTCCTAGATCAAACTGCCTGTCTCACATATCATTAACACATTAAATTCAACATGTTCAAAGCAGAAGGTATTATTCAACGTTTCTTCCAAGGCCCTCATCTCAGAGAACGGCATTTACTTACTCTAAATCTGTTGTGTGGCTGTTATCCTTGACTTTTTAACCCTGATATTCACATCCAATTAATTTCAGGTTGATTCTGCCTCTTAAAATTTCCTCTTATTTATCTATTTCTCTACACTCCCATGGCCACTTTCCTAGTGTAGATTACCTTTCTCTCCATAAATTCTGGTGATAAACTTCTAATTGGCCCTTCACTGTTAGTCTTCTGCTATTCATTCTCCACTGTATTGTTGAAAGACTTCTTAAGAAAATACACGTATGATCATTGTTAGGGAAAGTCTTTATCTTTGCGTGGCATTGCCCTTATCTTAGTCTTAGCCTTATAGTTGCAGTGATTCACAAAGATGACCAGATCGTTTAGAGATTCGTCTCTGCCTTTTCTTTAACCCTATAAATTCAGCTTGTCTTTGATTTCCACACTTACAGAAATGTTTTCAGTTGTAAGACTGTGCCACGCTGTCACTTGGTTTTGAGATTTTATCCAGGTTGTTACTTCTACCTCAATAACTTTGCTTCTCACCTACCAAGACATTTTTCTTTATAAGGCCTACATATTTCCCAAGTCTGCTAAAATATTACTTCTGGAAAATCACTGCGGATCCCTGAAACCAGTTAAACAGAAATTCCTGCGAGCTTTTCATTCCTCTCTAGTGCTTTTTGCCCTTTCTCTTACTAATTATGTGATCGGCCTGTCTTCTATGTTAGACTCTATTCTGTTGGAGCAAGTGTTGTGCTGGTGCTGCTCGTTTCTTCTTTCGTTCGCTCATTCATTCATTCCCTGGTGCTTGGGATCCAGCTCAGAGCACCATACATGTTGAGTTATTTCTTTAATTAGTTTTGTTCCCCACCTGTGATTTACATATGCTCCATAATTTCTACCCATGTGACCTTTAAAAAATAAGTTGTTCAGGGCCCTTGTTAAGGCTTTTAAATAACATCATAACCCTCACTCATTTTAGCAGTATGCACTTCTATTAATATTTTGATTATTCGTTTTCCTTTTTGCTCTTATTTTTAACTTTTGGAATTCCTAACATATAAACTATCATGTCCTTTATCTTCACTTAATAATGATTTCCATAATTAATCACTTATTAAGTGCCAACACATTTTCTCTAAATTCTACATTTTTCGTGTGTGTGTGTGTGTGTGTGTGTGTGTGTGTGTGTGTGTGTGTTACTGGGGATTTTCCTAAACTTACTTCTACTGAGAGATGCTGTGGGACCATATCTTAAGTTCATGTCTTTCGTAACATTTCAAAATATGTTTTGTCTGATTTTAGGTTTCTATCTTTTCATAACTGCCTACCTCCTCCATAGATACCACACCCTCTCAAACTTGGTGAGAATACCAATGAGAGATTCTCTAGTCTTTGTGTGTTTTTTTCTGTTTGTACACCCTCACAGAGTGCAGCTGAGATGCATTCTGTTTGAAACATTGTAACTATAATATTCTTAAACCTCTCAGACCCAAGATAAAGAAGTATAAAAATCTCACTTTTTTTAATTGTTCCAAAATTTCACTTTTCTAAAATTGTCATCCACTTTTTTGTAGAGTAGGAATCGGCTATTGCACTGTGGCTTTGGGTTGCATAGTATTTTTGAGTTTCTTGTGAAACAGAAAGTCAGTTGGGTCAGTACCTTCCTCAGCATCAGGTCAAGAACCAGCACCACACATGGTTTCCCATGACTCTGATGGCTTTGAGCTCTTGGCAAAGATAAAACCAAAGCCTGTTCGTCCCCACTACCAACATGTCAGTGTCAGAATCTATTCCCAGATAACAGGGATTGCTTCCAGGGGTCCCTCAACTTGTTCCCCAGCCAGGCATTTCCTTCAAGTGGTAATTTATTGTTCAAGCTAGTCTCCTCTTCACCTTGTGTTACAAAGGTGCATTAATATTTCAAAAATGTTGACAGCAGCCATCAGTAATTTCTAAGTTTGGTAAAATTTTTTCTCTGTTCACCTTGGTCACCTTAATGGGCTGTAAATAGAAGCTGTCTTAACCCAAATGTTATTTACAAAATCTCCTATTAATAGCATTTACTACCATATTCCATCCATGGTTTGTCACAAAGTATGTAATCCAGGCTGTACCATCCTTCAGGGTAAATGGCCTAAAATATCTTTACATTATGGCTCCCCCTACTGGTTCTGTCGTGAGCAATAAACCTGTTCCTCCTTAAAGCCTCTCAGAACACTGATTTGGCTGGAGTAAATAGAGAAACACTCAGCTGGAGCTAGATTCCTTTCTATTAGCTGGCTAATTCAAATTCCTAAGGTCCTTTTAGCATTTCTTAGGAAACTGCAGGCAGAAATTAAGTATAGCCCCTGCACATTAGAGAAACTTCCTCTTGCAACTAAGGCTGGTCCTGCCTTGGTTGGACTCTAGGAAAGGTCAACAAACAATACAAACCCTATGCACTGAGAAAGAATTGTATCTTACAGCACACACAGAGAGAAGAATGTTTGCTGCCTTTGCAAAGTTGGGCAATTGGGCTTCAGTGAGTTTGTGAGAAGAGAAAACACTCTCTATGATTGGAAACACGCACATGTACAATTCTAAAATTCTAATATTTTAACAAGATAAAGATGAGATAATTTAATACTCAGTAAAGTCTTGCTTAATGATTCCATGTTTCCTTTATTATCCATAATGGTTTAAAACCATAGTCTAATTGGTATATTATGATCTGATCAAATTCTGAATTATGAAATTTAATCAGTAAGAAGGGTTTGTGCTATTCAATGATTCTAAGAGCCTTGACGAAAAAAATGCAAAAATAAATTTGGTTCTTCCCTTCAGCCTGTGGTGCTCTCACCATACATGTGTTTTGTGTTTGGAACTCTGACCTTTACTTTCCTTATTACCTCAGGCTATGGATTCAACCAGTAATAATCATGATGTGTATGAGCATGTGTGTGTGCATGTGTGTGCTTTATTTTAATAATCATTCGTGTGTATATACCTGAATGTGTTTCCAATTGAAATTATCATCAAAATATCACAAAGAGAACACTTTTGTAATTATTAATTAACTAAAATAATGTTTACCTTAGCTAAATAGAAAGGGACTTCCCTTAATAAAATTATTTTGTGAAGGACAACTTACTCAGCAGTTTCCATTATGTGAGTCAGGCACAGTTACTCTTTTCCATGAAATAAAGCCACCCATTCTCTTTTTCACTCTCTTTTTATTCCACCCGAGACACATCTGCAGTGCCAACCCTCCTCAGAGACTGTTTATGGAGGTCTAAGAAAGTATTGACATATTTCCACATGATTGGATGATAATGCCATTTAAAGGAAAGAGTGTATTGCTTTAAAACTCTTTGCTAAAATAAGTTTTTTTTAAGGTTTGTAGGCTGCAGACAGATGAATTCGTCCTGCCCTTTGCTCAGGCTCACAGAGGCCATGGAAACTACACAAGTGATCCCTGGAGACACCAAGTTTCCTTCTGTTTACAGAACTTGTAATAACAGCCAAAGGGCCCAGCCATGATGCTCCAATAATAGACCCACTATTCTACACTTTTCCTGAAACAGTACCTTACACTTCTTTGGGTTTCTAATTACCAATCTCAATCTGTATGTCTAAATTAGTGAGATTTCTCCTTGGCCAGTCAGAGCAGGAGTTTCCCCTCCTGGTTATTAAGATGTCTCAGTGCAATTAGTAAATCCTTGGACTTCAGAGAGAGTATTCAGAAAGATAACCAGAGATAAATGTTGCTTCTTATACTGAATTACTTGGGAGCAGCCACTTTATCACCACATGGGACCCAAGAGCAGGGCAGTATGGAACATGGGGCTGAGAAATGAAAGAACCAATGACGTTACTTGAAGTCCAGGATTTATGCTTAAAGCTCCCAGCTTCTCAGTTACATGAAACAATGCCATCTTTTTTCAGTAAATTGTGTTGGATTTTCTACCATAGAAAGAGTTCCAACTTCAAATCCTTTGGAGTTGTTTGGTTGTTTTGTTTTTAATAAAATGGAATACTACCCAGAAAGATAAACTAGGGACATTTATAACTAAGTGGGTGCACATCGAGGCTATATTCTTAAGTGAAATAAATAGGACGCACATGTGTAAATACCAAATAGTTTCTCTGGTGTGAGAAACTGAAAGTATAAGTGAGGACCAAAATGTATAATAGATAATGCGAAATAGGAAGAAAAGGTCCCAAGGGAAAGAGGAAGGGGAAAGGAAATAAGGGAAAGCAAAAAATGAAAACAAAGTCTTTGTAAATAGGGAAGGGTGAAGATGTTAAAGGGAGAGCAGGGGAATGGGGAAAAAATAAGAACCAAGATATATCATGTACAGGTGCAAATTCCCATTGATGAATGTCATCATATTGTATACCTAAAATGTACCAATAAACGTAATGGAAAAATAAAAAAGAAAGAAACTGCTACATTTGACTGTTACACACGAGATCAGGACTGGGGTTGAATAACCAGAGTGAGGACGGGGCTGGACATGAATGTTGACCTTCACTTTCTTTGCTGTTTCTCATCACAGAAACAGAGGTTGAGACAAGATCCACTTTCTTCAATATGACTTTTCGGTAAGTTGTACTTTCAGGTTCACACGTGCTAAGTGTTGATCTAACTCCTTCATAAGAGTTGTTTTGTGTTAATTTTGCACTTTGTAGAGCTGGAATTATCAATAGAGAATAATTGTTCCAGCATTGTTCAGAGTTGGTTTAATGGAGAAGGACACCAAAAAATAAATAAATAAATAAAGTGAGGGCAACGTTTCTTGGATTTGCAGTGGGGCACACCCTTCCACTCACATACAGTTTCTCTTTAGCTTTTTCATGCTTGAAATTATTAAGGGGATGTGGGGGGAGGGATTACAGGACCCAGGAGAAATTCTCTAATCTTGACCCAACACCATCCCTTTCAAATGAAGAAATATCTGAGGAAATTCGCTAAATAGTCCAGTTAGGCAGGCTTAGCACTGCAGTAAAGTCATATGTTTTTCATTATTATAGTTTAAAAAATTATTAATATTCAATTTTCACAAGTAATACATCATTGCATTTTAACTGTGTCCATTTAACAAATAGTGAATGATTTAAAAACAAAGTTCCATGAAAGTCTTCCCCCTTGGCAGAAGTAACTACTGATATTAGCATGGAAGATTCATTTCCAGCTTGTTTATATGTGTATCTATAGAAATATAAAGCACTGCTTTACGGAACATTAACACAAAAATAGTATTCTCCTAATATGATTTTCAAAGCAAGTTGTAGATTAGTTCCTGGTCTTTTTAATAATCAAGCTACCTTATTTTCTCACTGCTGAAATTTTGGGGAAAAATATTGCAGGTTAACCATTCCTTATTCCAAATGCTATGGCTAAGAATTGTTTCAGATTTCAAATGAATATTTGAATATTTATAATGAGGTATATTGGAAAAGGAACCCAATCTAAACATGAAAATTCATTTATAAGCACCCTTATACACGTGGCCTGTGTATAATTCTATATAATATTTTTAGTACCTCTGTGTTTTGACTGCAACTCATCACATGAGGACAGGTGTGGGCTTTTCCACTTTTGGCATCATGTCTGTGTTCAGAAAGCTTCATTGCATCATTTCTGATTTCTTGATTAGTGATGTTCAACCCATACAAATAAAACAAAAAAGACCTTGAACATGCCCTTGAGCTTTTCCTGCTTCAAACCTGCTGGTTTTCTTGTTTTATTATCTTTGTACTCTCTTAACAAGAGGGCTATTTACTCTTAAAACATTTAATTAAGCATTGTCTCAGTATTTGCTCTGAGATTAGTTTACAGAGCAGGATTTCCAGTCTTTCACTAAATGCCTTCCTTCAGAAATACAAAATATTGAGTTCTTTACTCTTATTTGAAATTTCAAAATGAATGGTACAAATGAGAACAATGAAGCAATTATAACACCAAAGACACTTTTTTCAAACTTTTTTCCTTTTATTGATTCTCCCTACCCCTACAGGTTTAACATGACTGGATGGCTTCCTTCTACTTGGTGACTGCCCCCCTTCACCTAGTAGCAAGGTATCCCTAGAGAGAACTCTAGTTGTTAGCTCAGAGGTGTCTGAACATTTATATTCCAAATACAGTGATAATCACACAGCTGCATTCTACAATACTGGAAAGGAAATACAGACATTATAATGGTTAACAATACACTCACTCAGGAAAGCTGGAGTTAGCTTTTCTCATGAATTAATGAAAAAAATTATTACAAGAGTCCTCCTGATTACTCAAGCAGCCTAGTAAAAGAGTCAGGATAATATGATTTTCTTTTTGTGATAGCATGCTTTTGAGATTAGTTTTCTGGTCTGTATTGCAGAAAGAGAAAGAAGACCCAGTTGCCTATCAACTTTGACATTTCCTTGAACTACCTACTTGACCCCCCTCCCCCCAATTTTTTCTAACTCTGTGGAGTTTGACACAAACCAATGGCAAACACTCTAGATGAGGTGATGGGCAAGCTATAAGAAGCTGAGATTGTTATCTGAAGATTAACCACAGAGGCTCTGAAATGAAGCTGGGATGTTTTAAAAAGAATTTCCCGTGAGGTTTTCCAGGTCAGTTTATTGGGTCAGACTGGCTCTTCTCTGATCTCAGCTTTGTCAAGAGTTCTGCAAGATCATTTCTCATCTTTGACAGAACATGGTCAAGGAGGGAAGAAAATATATAACAGGCTACTGAAGCAACATGATCTAATTTGCTTTAGGTAGAGTTTTCATTCACTGGGCAGGCTGAGAAAATCCCTTGAAAGCATGCAGTTGCTTTCCCTTAATCAACTTCATCTACTTCCCCTTCCTTCTAGATCCTGTGTGCTGGAGAGCAGTTCTAGGTCCTGTCCACTCACGCCCCACCACCCAGAAACAACTCTGCATCCCCTTAGCCCTCTGAGACAATTAAAGCCTATCGGGGACTCCCAGAGACTTCCTTTCCACTGATGTCTGAGCCTCTGTGATGATTATACAGCATTACACTAACAATATAGTCATTAATAATATCATTGGATATAATCTTTTTGCTCTAATTTCAAAGTGATCTAGTAAACCTATGATGATAATGTGAACTCCCATGAAGATGCTGCTATCAGCTAATATAAATATCTGTTCACTAATATTTGGCAATCAATTACTTTGCATTCTGGTTCAAACATCAAGCTCTCGAGATTGTTGAGTGTGACCAAAGTCCACAGGTTGGGCCAGGATTCTGACATATGGAACTGCAGAAACCGAAGACCAGGACCCTCTCCACCACTTCGCTGAGTGAGATATGCTGTTAATTGGCAAGCAGATACCTTAGTGAGATCTCTCAACCATACCCAACTCATTTAGGGAAAAGTAGATTTGCTGTTGTCAGTGAAACACTTGTATAAGGAAATAACAGGGGCCAAGTTGAGATCCTGAAAAGCAAGCCAGTGTATTTGGCTTTAAATATTTTTAAAAATAATGAAGTCATCAAAGGTTTGTGAGTATTTAGCAAAAGTAACAAAAAGGTAAAAAGGTAAAGAAAAGGGTCTTAAATGCGTGCTGTATTTTATTTGTTTATGTATTTGTTTGTTTGTTTATTTATTTATTTATTTTGAGACAGGGTCTCACTAGGTAGTTGAGACTGACCTGGAACTCACTATGTAGCCCAGGATGGTCTCGAACTCGCAGCGATCCTCCTGCCTCAGTCTCCCAAGTGCTGGGATTACAGGCATGCACCACCACGCCTGGCTCTGTATTTTATTTTAGAAGGCCTTTATCACACAATTTTATGTAAGCTTGCCGACATTATATAGCATAAATGGCTAGCCCCATTCCATGGATGAATAAGTTTATATGTTAAAGAACTGTGACTGGATCAAATTTATTCAACCTCTAGAACTTGGAATAAGAGCAAACATTGTAATTTCAAAGGCAGTGTTTATTCTAAGATTATTTAAATAGTCCTATGGTAGTTAGGTCACATTTATCGAAATCAAGTTACCATAATGGGGTTGTGTTTCCTATCCAGACCTTGAAATGACACAAAGAGTACCTCTTCCCTCCTAGGATGAAAAAAGGTAACAGTTTCCTACTCTAAAATGCTGTGTATAAATTTAGGCCTGCAAATTCTATGAGGTATGTGTGTATTCAGCTCATGAGAATATCCTCCCCAGCATGTTCCTTGGCCTTACTTAAGCTTATGTAACATTATCGTAGTCCCTGATTTAAACAATTTCATGTTATATTACTGTTTTTGGTGGGGGGGGTGGATATTGGGGACAAAGGTATTATTACTTCAACAAATTGACTTAATGAATTATGTCAACATTGCTCCACAAACTCACAAAAATAGTACATCTCTGTTGATTTTTAATCAAAAAGAATATTTACAAGTAATAGACCTAGGCCCATTAAAATTGTTTCTTTGTCATCTAATAACAATTACCAAAGTGAGAGACTTCAGTTGTTTTTAAAAACAATCTAATAACTGGCATTGAGAGCCGAGTCAGGACCTCATATGCACTCCATGTGTTTAGGGTGCTGATTCATTGCAGGCTCTAAAAGGAAAAGTGGGATTTATCCTCTTCTTAAAATGCACTTAATATACAATACACAGTGGTCCTACAGAGGATCAGCAAAGCATTACGCATATAATGCTGAGCTCTAGATGGGAACAAACTGGAAAACATAGGTATCAGTTATTGTGTATTGCCACGAGAATGAATGGCGTCGGGCGGGGTCAGAGGAGGGCACCATGGGCTTTTAAATTCTCTTCAGTTGCTGTGCTTCTATGTTCAGAATTTTCTTGGGCTAAATGAACACAGATACAAATCAGAGCTCAAGCAATTTCTTTCGAGGACTTCAGACCTGCAGGTCTTTCACATCATCACCGTTCTACTATTTCTGTGTTGAATTGCTCCATGAGGAGCTGATTCAAGTCCTACTCTTTGCTGCGCTGAGCTGTCTCAAGGCGAAGACAAAAGCTCTCTTGGGCTGTGAGGACACTGCTGCTTTCTTCCCAGTTTGCCCTCCCCAGCAGTAATCAATGTTTATGGCTGTAGTTACAGTAAAAATAGCAAAAGTCAATATTTGTGCTCTGTATCTGTCAGATAATAAACCTGGCTGGAGGCAGGGCTGCCTGACATCTGCATGCAGCAGGCAGGGGCTGTCCCGCCCCCAGCCCATCCTTTCAGACAGTTTATCTAAAGGTGGCGTCATATTTGTACAGCTGACAGTCTCAAATCCCCCCTGTGTGTCCTTAGGGAAACTCAGAATTTTTGTTTGATTTTTGATCCTGTTGATTCTGGCCTTTCGACTGGAAAAAATGTTAAGAAAAAGAAAGAAAGAAAATATGAAAGTAAGAAAAAGAAACAAGACAGAATAAACACTCAGAAAATCTATTTAACAGTCCTAAATTAAACGGAAAGGTCCCTTTTACCCCAGAAACTCACCCTCACCTAAGGTCTTCTAAATGACAACACGAAGTCAGACTATAAATTGTCAAGTGTTGTTTACACATTGCCTATTTCAAAAAAGGATAATGAAAAGCAAGGACATGAAAGATTGTAATGAAAGACCCTAAA